TAGTTTGCAGATTCTGATTCTGTAATATGCTCTATATGATATGTTACCTTTTTCATTTGCCTCAGTAGGCATGTGATGTGCTCTGTATGGCATATGATCTTAGTCAAATGTATCTGTATCCAAGATAGTTGAAAATTCTTCACACATCAGGTAATTAGGGTCTGCTTAAAGCTTGCTGCAGATTGGCTTACTAGGTATCTGTACAGGATTTTATTCGGGATATTAATTTTTTATTCATCCGAATTTCAAAACATACATTCACTTCAGAATTGTCACCAGCAAACTGTGTTTTATTAACTGTTTTGGTAATTCAGCCTAAATTTCTCCTCCATCTTATTTTCCTTGGCTTTAGAAATCATCAGAGATGAGTTTACACCAACTTCATTACCTCTGTTGAATTGTTTAGTAGGTTGAATTATGAACTTCTGATGTGGTTTTACAATTTGATAGTCTTTAAGTGCACGTGATGTCTCAATCATAAGTTCAGGATCTTTTTGTCATGGTGTCATGTTTAGAGTCCTTCATCCTGAAGGCTTAAAGTTCACAATTTCGGTGCTTTGCAATGCCTAATTTTTGAATTATCTACTGATATAGGAGATGATTTTTTTTAACACTTGTTATGTTGTAACTGCTCATTATGGGGTTGTGGAGTGGTATCCACCCTGGTTTTAGAAAATTTCACCAGAAACGATGATGTTACCTCTTCTTTGATTTCTGCTTGTCGGTCATATGACTGTATATATTATTTTGCTTCAGTTTAGATAATAACCTGAAAATTTGCTGGATTAATTTTCTTTTTGGAATTTTGAATTTTAGGTTCGTAGACCTATCAAGCAGAGGTCTTGTATATAGAGAATATTTGGAACACAAATTCTTCATTCTTAGCCATAATTATGTATTGCAAGTAATTTTGTTTCTTTGTCTAAATTTTGGTGTTTTGATGCAAAAATGATTTCATTTTCATTGTGCATCTGTAAATGCTCTTGATTCCCTACTTCTGCGAGAAAGATTTCATTTAGAGCAAGTGTATTGAGTCCCTAATTCTGTATTTTTCTGTTACTTCTTTCTGATTCTGTGGAACAGAATTTTTTATTGATGATTTACATGCTTCTGATGATCTAGGCTTCCCCTCTTCTGAATCAATGATCTCTTTCTAGTTAAATTGTTTTCTCGTTGAACTTTGTTGGCAAGAATTTCATGTGCAGCATTAAGATGAGCATTCTTTGGCATTTCTCATGCTGTGTTTGCAACTTGAACTTGTACAGGAGATGCAACGGACCAAACTAATCTCATGTGAAACTTTCTGCATCTATGAGAAACTAAACGCATGAATTTGGAAATGTTCTTTTGTATCTTGTTCTGTTTCTTACCTTGGATAATTGCTGCTAACATCTTCTCCAACATGACTCGGTGCAGCGTGGCATGAAGGAAGATGTGGCTAACATGATAGCACCGTTGCTGGTGAGACCGATTACCCGCTGGCCATTCTTTGCTTTCATGGGTGGTGCTATGTTTTGCTTGCTGGCAAGCAGCACCTGCCATTTGCTCTCATGCCACTCAGAGCGTTTATCATACATCATGCTCAGGCTTGATTATGCCGGGATTGCTGCTCTAATCTCGACCTCCTTCTATCCTCCTGTTTACTATTCCTTCATGTGCTATCCATTCTTTTGCAACTTGTATCTGGGATTCATTACTATTCTGGGAATTGGTACCATATTGGTTTCCCTTCTACCAGTATTCCAAACTCCAGAATATCGTACTATGCGGGCATCCCTCTTCTTTGTGATGGGGTTGTCAGGTGCAGCGCCAATTCTGCATAAGCTAATTCTATTTTGGAACCAGCCTGAGGCACTTCATACAACTGGGTATGAACTTCTAATGGGAGCTTTTTATGGTATTGGAGCACTGGTCTACGCCATGAGAGTTCCTGAAAGATGGATGCCTGGAAAGTTCGATATTGCTGGGCACAGTCACCAACTCTTCCATGTGCTTGTAGTTGCAGGGGCTTATACCCATTACCGTGCAGGGCTAGTTTATCTAAGGTGGCGGGACCTGCAGGGTTGCTGAACTTCTTGTGATTAAATGGCTATCTGTTGATGTTGTACTAGGATTTTAAAAATTATTCTGGACTAGTTTTGGGTGTCTTAGAGTCAAAGTGTATAAGGTGGAGGTAAAAGTCTGCTGCCCAGTATGTCTGTAGATCTGTACCTTTCGTTTTTGTTGTTGCAGTGAATAACTAAAAAGTATCAACTTGGAGTAATATTCAACTTTAGATTTTGTTCCCGTGTGGATCTGGGTTTTATCTGGGGAGGACAAAAGGGTACGCGACACAAGAGCAGTTTGTTCTGTTATGCTATTAGATTAAACTCAAAAATGCTTTTCAATCGAATGATATCAGGATAATGCAACGGAAATTGACGTCCAAAACTATCTGCTGAAGTTTCTTTAGTTGTTACTCATTGACCTTTCAGTTCTGAGCAACGAACCCAAAAGAAGCAGGAATTTGGTTTTTCTCACCGTGATGCGTTCAAAGTTCCAGTAACAGAACCTAAATTGAAGACCATGCAAAACTGAAAGCTTGAAAAAAGGGAAACCAAAGTCATCAAATGCCGAAGATGGCAAGAGACATTTACGGGCAATCGCCACAAACTGTGGAATGGACAAAACGAGAATCGTCATTATTTGCTCTCGTTGAGAGTCGAACTCAAGACCTCCCGCTTACTAAACGGGTGCTCTAACCAACTGAGCTACGAGAGCACGTTTGGTCAGTGATGCCCTCATTCCTATTACTTTCTGAATAATTGCACGCCTAACCTCACAGAATCTCATCACATGACTGCAGTGCCAATGTATTCCCGGGAAAAGGGCCCAGTATGATTGGGGTTGGGTACGGTTCCATCTGATTGTTGTTGTATTTTGTGCCGTACTTAGATTACAATTGCATTGCGTTATTTTACTCAAAGTAAAGGCAATGTATATGAATGAAATACTTGACATATATTCAGTAGAATATTATAATATATTTGTATAAAAAAAAAAGCTTGAACATGTACAACAACCGGATGGAATGCACAAAACATAATTGCATTGAGTTCTTATCCGAACTCCTAAAGCGAACCGTAATGAACCAATCTTTACAATGTTTATGACCTTCGTTAGGATTATGATCTTTATTGCCTACCTCATAAGGAAGTATAGCCCACTAAGGGAGCGTTTGATAAAATTAAAGTTTGAAATTTAAAATTTGAATCTATTAAATTATTAAATTGTTAAATATTAAATATAATATATTTGAATACTTATTACATTCAATGGTAAGTAGATAGTTTATCACTTATTTTGGTGACAAATTTTGCTTAGAACTGTAATCGAATCGAGCTGCTTGCAAGTAGTTTGGCCAAAAATTTGACTCGGACTCGAGTTGACCAAATTTGAGTTGAGTTCGAGCATTCAGATGCAATGTTTGAAGGTTCGTCAAGTCTTATCTAGTTTTTTAATTTTAATTCTTTAATATATTATTATTATGAAATTACCTTTATACCAAAAAAAAAGTGATTGAATTTACGAAATATTTCAAGTTGTCGAAATTTTTTAAAGGGCAATAATGTATTTTCACTTAAAAATTATAAAAATAAAATAAAATTTTCTGACTCAAACTTGATAAAGCTCGCATTAACTCGAACCAATGCAAGTCGAGCTCAAGTTCTATGAACAATCATCAAGCTCGAGTTCCAGTTTCAATAATACTATTCGCTTGGGCTACAGCTCGAGTATGGCGATGCTCTGCCCTCAAAGACTGACTAACGTTTGTTGATGGAGATTTCTTTCCTTTTCAGTTCTCAGGACAGTAGCCTTCTCAAATTCCAGACGCATGACACTGAGATACGCAGTAAATCCCGAGAATTGACGTTAATAAAAAAGCAATAAATAAGGAAGCCTCCGCTGATCCTCAACCAAAATGTCGGTGCAATTTCCACGTGTCAGAATCAAGAGATGCACCCTCATGATCCACATTCCATACCAGTCCACAGACGTAAGTGGAACCGACGGACCCCAATTAAAATTTAGGGATAATTTTAGAAACCTTCCCTGAGGTTTCTAACAATAACACTAGCCTCCCTTAAATTTTATAAAATTATGCAAACCTCCCATGAGATTAAGATTTTCATAATAAATTACTCCAATTAGAAAAGGTAATATTAAAAAATATTTTAAGAAGAGAAATAAAATTTTGATTTCATAAATATCCCTTATGCATGCATATAACTTGTACTAGTAAAAAAATAAAAATAATTAATATTTAGAAATAATTAATACACGCATTTTAGCATTTAAAAAGTTTATATTTAATAAAATTAGATAACATAAAAAAGTAACAAAACTAGACTAATGATCACAAGATTCAACAAAATAGACTAGTTATCATTTTTGACGTGATATATATTATGATTCTTGTGATTTTGAACAGAAAAAATTTTCAAAATTTGTCTTTCTTTTTCCTCCATCCTCCTTTATTAATATCTATCGATTAAGTAATTAGAACATTAATTAATTATTAGTAACCAATTAACAAAAATAGCTGTTGAAAATTTTTTTAATGATGAATGATGACTTGTATTTAGAAAATAACATTAATTGATATACCTAATGAAGGAAGGAGGAAAAAGAAAGACAAAATTTGAAAGTTTTTTTTATTCAAAATCATAGCATACATTATTTAAAAAAAATGACTAGTCCATTTTATTAATTCTTATGATCATTAGTGTAATTTTGCTATGTATTTGTATTATTTAATTTATTAAATGTAAATTTTTTGAGTAGTGAAATATATGTATTAATTGTTTCTAACTTTTAATTATTTTTATTTTTTTACTAATACAACTTATATATATATATACATAAGGGATATTTATGAAACCAAAATTTCATCTTTCTTCTTAAAAGTACTTTTTTTAATATTACCTTTTCTAATTGGACTAATTTGTTATCAAAACCTTAACATCAGGGGAGGTATATATAATTTTGTAAATTTCAAGGGAGGCTAGTGATATTGTCAGCAACCTCCCTGAGGTTTCTGAAATTATCCCTAAAATTTAAAAGCCCCACCCGCTCTCAACAATAATCACCACTGTCCATCAAAACAAACGAAACATCGGCAGCAGCAGAGCAAACTCAGCTCTAAACTGCTAAAGCAATGCAGTTGTAGTTGCAGTAGCAAGGAAGGATTGCGATCATCACCATCCAATACACAAAAGCCACGCCCACGCAATCCAATGCTGAGCAGCTTTGCTTTTACTTTCCCAGACTCGGCCAAATTACTCTTCGGCGTCCATTCAGTCAAGCGGCGAACCACCTCTAGCTGACGCACTCAATTTCCCAGATGGCCATAAACTCTCACTAACGGACGAACCTCACCTCCTCCACCTAGGTGGCAAAACCAGGCGCAGGCGCTTTCGTAGCGCCCTTAAAATGCTATCTCCAGACCAGTCACACCTTCAGACAGCAGCCACCATGCCTAAGCACAACAGCCTCCTCCGCACCAAAACCTCGTCGTTTTTCTCCAGCTGCTTTCTTTACGCCGCCGGAACTTCCGCTTCCTTTTTGTTAGCCTGGGCCTTCTGGTCCTTCTTCAGTAGCCCCGCCCCATCTGCGAATCCCTCTTTCTCGAGGGGCCTAGCTTCCGAGGCTGCCCTCAGCTGCCCCGCCGGGAAAGCGGGTCACAACCGGAGCTACGATCCGCCCGACCCGACTTTCTATGACGACCCGGAATTGAGCTACACCATTGAGAAGACCATCAAGAACTGGGATGAGAAGAGGCGGGAGTGGCTCGAGAAGCATCCCTCGTTCGCCGCCGGAGCAGCTGACAGGATTTTAATGGTCACGGGTTCTCAGGCGACGCCCTGCAAGAACCCGATCGGGGATCACTTGCTGTTGAGGTTCTTCAAGAATAAGGCGGACTACTGCAGGATCCACGGCTACGATATCTTCTACAACACCGTGCTGCTGCAGCCGAAGATGTTCTCGTTTTGGGCAAAAATGCCTGCCGTGAAAGCGGTCATGTTGGCCCATCCGGAGGCGGAGTGGATCTGGTGGGTAGATTCAGACGCAGCCTTCACCGACATGGACTTCACGCTGCCGCTGGATCGCTACAAGGCCCATAATTTAGTGGTCCACGGCTGGCCTCACTTGATTCACAGGGAGAAGAGCTGGACGGGGCTGAACGCGGGAGTGTTTCTGATGCGCAACTGTCAGTGGTCAATGGATTTCATGGAAGAATGGGCGAGCATGGGGCCTCAAGCCCCGGAGTACGACAAATGGGGCGTGATTCAGCGGACGACGTTCAAGGACAAGACGTTTCCGGAGTCAGACGATCAGACGGGGTTGGCTTATCTGATCCTGAAAGAGAGAGAGAAATGGGGGAACAAAATTTACATGGAGGATGAATATTATTTTGAGGGGTACTGGATGGAAATCGTGGGGACGCTGGAGAACATCACCGACGCGTACACGGGGATCGAGAAGCGGGAGAGGAGGTTGAGGAGGAGGCATGCAGAGAGAGTGGGGGAGAGTTATGGTAAGGTGTGGGAGGAGCACCTTAAGGACGCTGGGTATGGGAGGGGGAGTTGGAGGAGACCGTTCATGACTCACTTCACGGGGTGTCAGCCTTGTAGCGGGGACCACAACCAGATGTACTCTGGACAGTCTTGCTGGGATGCGATGCAAATTGCTCTGAATTTTGCAGATAATCAGGTGCTTAGGAGATATGGGTTCGTGCACCGGGATCTATTGGATACGTCCACCGTCTTGCCTCTGCCGTTCGATTACCCGGCATCGGACCTTGTTGAAGGCGCTTCCTAGACATATTTTATTCTAACCAACAGTTTCCTAGTTTTGTACCATCACCGGAGGCTTTACGAGTAGTATCATTTTTTTTTTATTTCTGAAACGATTAGTATCATATAGAAAGAAGGTATATCAGATTTATGAAACTATACTACTGTTGCTTTAGTAGTATCATTTTGACGGTTATGGGCTCTTAGTAGTGAGTGATTGCATATATATATTTCGTTTTTCATTTTTTGGGCACCCTGGAGATGTATTTTCTCTGTTGTAAGTTAAAGTTGGGGGTCTTATAAAGTGTTAATGCATGTACTATATATGCTGTACTTGTTTTTTTTTTTCAAAAAAAAAATTTCTTTTTTGTTGGGGGTTTATCGGGCACGTTCCAGTAGTATAAAAGTTAACATTTGCTTTAGTGATGATGTTTTATGTCCCCTGAACCAAATGAATCTGATTCTCCTCCCACTTATTGCTGGTAGGTGTTTGCGCTTTTCTATTATTCCGATCAAGTGGCTGTAGTTAAGTGGAACGGAGATAGCAGTATTTGGTTAGTGAGTTTTGACGAAGCTAGCTCAACGTCGAATGAACGAATGAATGAATGGGATGGGTCGCAGCAGCTCTTTTTATGCCGGAATTTGATCTCATTCTCGCTGTTGTGTTGTTGTCACCCACGCTTGTAACATACTGGAAAAAGCCTTCACAAAACCATCATTCTGCTGCTATGCGCCAGCGCTACTTTGAGCAATGAAATTCTCCTATTTAATAGTTGCACGACGCGTGCGACTCAGGATGAAAGGTGTGGATTTACTTTCCCATTTTCGAATTTCTTTGCCGTTGTGCTTTCTCGAACCCCAATCTACGACATAGATGCTGTAACAAGTACTGCAACTTTGGCACGAAAAAATCAACCCAATGTAATCTAAAGGTTCGGAGCGTTAGAATTTGTTTGGGTATTTTTTACACGTACATCACATCATAAAAAATGTTATAATAATTATTTTAAAAAATACTCTATTCTAATTACTCGTTAGAATCTGAGCCATCTACTTATCTTTTTCGGTTTTTCCCTCCTCCTTGATCATTTGTCATGAGTGTCAAAAATTAATTATTAGAAATTCAAAATTTGTGGTAATAGGAGTCCAAGTCGATTTCACAGGAAATAGTTGAAACTTTCGATTTTCTTTGTTAAAATAGTAAATAGTAAATTGGAATAAGTAAAACTATCGCCAGAACTAAAACAACAATAATAAAAATAGAAGATAAAAATAATAAATAATGAGTCAAACCAAGGACACGAAGATCTTTATTCTGATTTTTCATTAACTCCTAAAGATCCAATATTTAATCAACTATATGGCATTGGTTGCCCCGGATGTCGGTAATAAAGAATTCAACAATCAGAATAACACATTCAAATTGTATTATTGTTATTATTAGATATTCCAGGTATTGATGCAATTTCAATTACTCTAATAACAGCCAATGTTTTGAAAATCGTACCAGATCGATCGGTTCGATCGGTTGAACCGCGAATCGGCCATGGCATCGGTCCCGGTTCTATGCCTTGTTTGACTTTGTCTGAAAATCGGTCAAACCTTGAAAACCGCCGAACCGGGGGTTGAAACGGTGGTTTTCGGTTTTCAACTTTCTCTCTTTTTTTTTTTTTTTTTTGTTGCAAAATGCAACTATCAATATTCGAACTCAAGACCTTTATAATAGAAGACCAATGTATTAACCGTTGCACCATCACATCTTATTATTTTTTTTTGAGAACTTATTTATATAAAACAAACACTCATATTTCTTTTTTCTATTTTTTTTTACAAAATTTCACCCTCTCACGACTCTTTCTTTTTATTTTTCAACTCTCTCTCTCTCTATCCTCTTTCCTTTTGTCACTCTCTTTTTAATCAAACCTTTTTATTTTTAATTTATTGATGTTTTCTTCCATCTTTTAATTTTATTTTTGTCCATTAAATTGAAAAAAGTAAAAAAAAAATTAATTTTCTTTAACCCAAATTATTTAATGCCACAACCACTCACTTTTATCTCATTTTTTTATTTTTTATCAAGTTTACATTTCTACTTTCGAATCTCTCGCTTCCTTCGAACTCCAAACTTTCTTTTTTTAAATTGCAATCTCTAAATTTCAAAACATAAATTAAAATTTAAGTTCACAATATCTAAATTCTCATAGACGTGAATTTTGTATAATTTCAAAATACTGTGATATTTTTGGGTTGGATTTAGATATAATTGAAATTGAGATGAAATTTATTTGTTTTAACTTATAATTTAAAAATTTTATTTTTTAAAATCCAAGTTATTAAAAAATAGTAAACTTTTCATCATATAAAGTATTAAATTAGTCCATTACATGTCTTATTTCGTGCATATATATATTTATTAAATTATTTTTAAAAAAATTCATTGAACCGGGGTTGAACCGGTCCGACCGGTTGAATCTCGACCCTTTCACTTCACCGGTTCAATTAACGGTCCGGTTTTTAAAACATTGATAACAGCATTAAGAACCAATAATCAGTCAAAGATGACAATGACCCGCGACGCACGTAGTTATTTAATTAACATCATGATTTTTCTTAAGAGTTCACAAAAAAGGACAACCAATTGCTAGTTTTATTTGTCATGTAGAAATACCAATACAAGACAATTACGTATTAAAATTAGTATTTTGGCACGAAGAATACATGTAGAGAGAATAATTGACCACTTACTCTACCATACATGCATCAATATAGAATAAAATCAAGAAATCACAGATAGTAAATTATATATTAAAAGGATCAAACCCGATTTCATAACCGTGAAATTGGAATTGCAAATGAATTGAACCGATAGCGAGTGGCTTGAGTTCGAGTTCAAATTGATCAAATCAAATTCGAACCCGAACTCGAGCTGATCAAGTCAAATTCGGTCTCGAATTTGAATTCAAAAATACTAAATTTGTTAACTTGAGAACCAACTTGAATTCGATTATATATTTTTTTAATTTTATTAGTTAAATTACATATGTATCCCTAATATTTTATTAATTTATATATTTTTAAATAATAAAAATGGTTAATTTTTTTTAAAAACTCAAGTTCGACTCGAATTTGAATCGAACTCGAGCTCGAGTTCAATATTCATAAAATTATGTTGAGACTCGACTCGATTAGACCAAAATTCAACTCGTTTAACTCGTTTACACCCCCAATTGGAATAAATACTTCAATCCTTGATTGGAATAGAGAACTAGTTAAATATTACCTTTAAAACAGAAACAGAGTTGTTCATAGTCAAACTCTAGTCCGACTTATTATAATCTATACTTCTAAAAATGTAGACTATGGAAAAATAACGGCTACAGGCCGTTCTTCTTGTTCGGCCCCCTAGAATCGACCAAAGCCTCCTATTTATAGTGTTAGGAAGTAAGATTTTTGAATTGTAATTGGATAAGTACGTTAAAACTAAGAAAACACACATCCAGACAATGTCGGGTCTTAAGTTGGGTTACAGGACGGACGCCCAGCATCGTTTAACTTATCAATTTGAATGAAATCAAGTTCAACTTTGAACGGGCCATGTGTTTGGCCCCCATTATAGCGCGCCCATTAGTGGCCGTGTTCGTGAATTTAGCATTTTCCTTTCAAATTGAATTCCTTGTGTATCATTTTCATTCCAAACGCTTTTTAATCAATCCAATCATAAACCATACCTTAAATAGTACTTTAAAAGATAAAATATGCACAAAATCATAGTAATAGAAGGATATAAAAACATAACGGTTAGGATTCATCACTCCTCTGGTTCGTGGGGAGGCGACTGCATGGTTCCTTTCTATTGACTTTGATGCCCTAAAACTATCCGTTTATTAAAAGCATCATTTCGAACATGTTCTTTTTTTTTCCCTTAGGGGGGATTTTTGAAAATGTTACGTTTTTTTTCAAGAAGACAGGACTTCCCCCCGGTACCAATTCACAACAAACAAAAGATTACGCAGATTAAACATTTGATTCAAGAACTTTTCGAGCATATTTGATTATTGTGCATTTCCACCATTTTGTCAATCAACTTTTCGAGCGGATTAATTTTTGTGTCCCAACCAATCAACGCTACTCAAAGCCGAAGGACTTGGGATAGAAGTGCACCAATACGCCTCTGGTTAAGAGCAAACCTCCATCAGAAGTCTGAATAATACCAAGAGAGAAACTGCTATTTGCCCTGCTTAACATTGACATACTCTACTCTAGATCCTCCGCCCAAACCCCCCAAAAAAAAAGTGTCATCTTTTTTCTTCCCTATGAGATGAGATGGTTATTAACAGTTGAAAGGAGGAAAGTTCTGGTTCACAGATTCTACATCGTAATTGGGGAACTGTGCAAAACGAACAGCACAAAACAAAAGTACTAGTCTAAGACCCTGCTAATAGTGTGCAAACAACCAAATTAATTCTCTTTTTATATTGACAAAAAAAGCAATGGTAAAAGCTCTTGAACTTGAAATTCACTCGATTGAGGAACTTGGTGAAGCCTCCGTGAGAATCGTTTGCTTTTGTTCTCTCACTTCACCATTTTGACGGATAGATACAAAAGAAAGCAAGACAAAACTGTACAAAACACAGACACAACCACCCTTTACTTACCTCCTCCACTTAACTCTACACCAATTCTTCCTTCTCGTCGGCCGGAAAATCAAAGGGTACTGGAAAAACCGACGACCCATTCCCTAAATCCGGGTGCATAAAACCATACCTCCGGAGAACCTGATTATCGGCAAAATTCAGAGCCTTCTCCATCGCAACCCAGCAGGCGTTCCCCTTGTACGCCGGGTCACGTTTCCCGGTACACGGCTGACATCCGGTAAAATGAGTAATAAACGGCCGTCTCCACCCACTATTTCCAAAACCACCCGCATCTCTCAGGTACTTCTCCCACACCCCATCCAAGCTCTCACTCACCACTTCCGCAACTCTCCTCCTCAGCACCGGCACCTTTGCCTCTGTATCCAAATACTTCTTAATTATGTCATTTAACCTCCCCACAATTTCGACCCAATAGCCATGCAAGTAATACTGATTTTCCAGATAAATCATGTCTCCCCATTTCTTCTTTTCCCTCAATAGTAAATAAACTAGAGACGATTGCTCATCAGCTCCTGGAATAACCTTATCCGAAAGGGTGGACATTACCGTTTCGCTCCAATACTTGTAATCGGGGCTCCGCGGGCTCATGCTCGCCCAAACATCCAAGAACTCCAAGGACCATTCACAATTTCTCATCAGAAAACTCCCGGTGTTTACGGCTACCCAGCTCTTCTTCTCGTAAACCAAGTTGGGCCAGCCGGGTACCACGAGATTGTGCTCCTTGTACCTCTGTAACGGAATTTTGAAGTCCATGTCGGTGATGATGGCATCCGAGTCCATCCACCAGATCCACTCGGCTTCCGGGTGGGCCACCATGGAAGCTCGAATTACAGCTACTTTAGCCCAGACGTTGCACAATTTCGGATCAAAACAAGCATTACTGTAGAAGATATCGTAGCCGTGGATTCTGCAGTAGTCGGCTTTGTTCTTGAAACCTCTGAGGAGTAGATGATCGCCGATGGGGCTCTTGCAGGGTGAGGGCTGTGATCCTGTGAGGAGGAGTATGCGGTCTTGGATGTTGTCGGCAAACGAGGGGTGAAGTTTCAGCCATGATTTTCTCTTGTCGTCCCAGTTATCGATGGGCTTGTCTAGGGTGTAACAGAGTTCCGGGTCGTCGTAAAACGTGGGTTCTGGCGGGTCGTGGGTTCGGTTGAGGGATTGGGGTTGGGAAGTGCAGTGGTCGGTGGTGGTGTTTGAAAAAATGGTGGAGACGGATAAGTTTGTCCAAGCAGTTTCAGTGAAGGACCAGAGAGCATAAAAGAGTAGAATGGCGACTAATACAGCGAGGAT